GTTCACTGCAAATCTTCAATACCAAGCTGATTTTGATTCAAACTCCTTGATTTTATTAAGGAACTTCTATAATAGGATGCTATTTTAGGGTGAAACTCTGTTTTTATTGTCATGTTCCTTGTCATCATCCCTCTCTATCTCTCTTATAAGTTGTAACAAGGAATATAATGGTGACATTGAAAATTTTCAGCTTTCCGCTCCTATCATCTTAAGTGTTTCGACATAGTAGGCTTTGGTTAGTTTAGGAAGAGTAACATACCGTTCACAAAGACATTGAGGTTACTGTACGTAAAGGATTTGATATTTAGACAAAAGTTGACTGTGAAAACAGTGGTGGTAGATGCTCACTGTATGTAGGTTTTGGTGGAACATAGCCGAAACACCAATGTGACTGCTGTGGATAAATGCAATACATAGTTTTTGAGGTTAAATAGTGATGCATTCTTCAATCAACTTTAATATCTAACCACTTATATGATTATTGACTTGCACCACTTGTGCCTCCATGCAATGTTTTCCATTATATTTGTGATACCTCTTAAGTTGAGATAATATAAAAGGTATTGCTGGTCAGTTTTCACTAATTGAAAAGAGTTTGACATTGCTTTAGTTATTTCAAATTGTGCTAATTTCCCATGTCACAGTCCTGGCTAAACTGGGTTTTGCTTTAGGTCAATATCTCCTTGGCAGCAGCTAGTGCGCGCCTTCAGAATGTCCGAGAGGAGAGGGACCAATTCTATGATGCTAATGATGAGATTGTTGCTCATTTAAAAACCAGAGTATGTCTTTTATTTTCTTTTTACAACCAATTCTTCTTTTGCTTAGCCTCTACCTCCAGTTCTTAATCTGTATCCACCGATATGGATCTCCAATTGTTCTCTTTTACATTTGATCATGAGTTCTCTATATCCTTGTAGGAAGACGACCTATCAAAGTCTATTGGCTCATGTAGAGTGGAAGCAGATGTTCTTAGTTCATGGATCAAATTTTTGGAGGACGCTTGGGCTCTTCAGTCCTCCTTTACAGAGAACAAAGAGAAGGAGGCCAAGTATGTTACAGGATTTACCACATGATCTTTCTTCCGAACTTCTGAAAGAAAAAGAAAACTCTTAAAAGTACTACACCTAATATTATGGTTTGTTAAACATTATCGTCAATGAATATTCTTGGAGCATGCTTTATTTTGTAATTGTTTTGCTGCCTTGCATTCTTGTAGTGTTGAATTGGAAAGGCATGAAGATTATTTTGTGAACTTGGTCTTGCAACTTCTCTCTGCTTATGAGGTATTGAAAAATGATCATAGTCGCTTTGTCTATATATGCTCTTGGGATAACTCTTGGATCTATTATGTGTTGCTTGCACAGAAAGAGTTGAGGCCTTCTATTGATCGTATTAGAAAATACGTGGAGAACTTGGAGAGTTTAGTTGAAGGGTAAGTTCTTTCTTTGCATTCATAAGCCCGTACATTTTCGTGGTCACACTCTTAATGCTTTTTTTTTCTCCACATAGCAGCTCAGCAGAAGAATCTGGTCTGGCTTCTAGTGAATCAAAAGCATTGAGCCCTAGGAAAAGTCTGGAGTTGGAGTACCTGGACCATGAAGCCAAGGTAAAAATTGACTACACAAAACCAATCTGATGAATTCGAGCTGCCTCCACTCTTTCTGTCCAAGACTAAATCTATTGGAGGTCATTGGTGATTTGCAAGCTTTATATTCCAACTTGCGCCTTGGTTAGCAAGTGCTTTAATTGCCTAGTCAGGAGCAGCTATAATTTATTTTCTATTTGCTATTGTATGTTTGTGCACTTCGCACTTATTGGAGTAGCCAACATGGCACAATCCTTGTCTCTCTGACACTTGAAGCTTGTTTTATGAGTTGGAAATCTTCTTCATCATTCCCATTCCCACATAACCCTTTAAGCTTCTAAGTTTCCATATCCAAGTGTTGAACTTTCTAAAAACCAGTGCAGAGGCCATTTGTTTGGTTTGCTCTCCCCTTTTAGTTTCTTTCATCTGCCTTACAATATCAATCCAGATTCCTGAGGTATATGTCTCATCTTAATGCAGATTATTACCACCTTTAGTGTAGTCGACAACATGATGGAGCAGTTCTATGCTCAACAAGGGAAAATATCCAGGTTTGCTTGTGCTTGATACTTTTACTGTTTCATGTAGCTTTTGTTGGTTGCCAAACTCTATCAAGTGAGCTACTTGTTCCCTTTTCATTCAGGAAAGATGAGCCAAAGATTAAAGAGCTGTTTGAGAACATTGAAAAGTTACGAGAAGAATTTGAATCTATTGAGAGGCCAGAACTGGAAATGGAGGTCCCGGAGGTCCCTACCCAAGAGGACGCTTTATCCCACAAAATTCCTGATGAAAGTACACATACTGCAAAGAAGGCAACAGAAGCCCCTGCAACTGCAACTTCTACCAAACCGGAGCAGGTATCTGATGCCCCATCCTATAAAATGCTAGATGAAAGTGTATCAATTCCTGCAAGGGAGGCAACAGAAGCCCCTGCAGCTGGGGAAAAGGAGGAAAAGAAAGCAGCTGCTACTAAACCAGAGCAGGTGTCTGAAGCAGAGTTGGCAAAATTGGAATCTGAATCTGAAAACATTAACCAGGATTACTCTGCAGAAGAGATTGGTGGCTGGGAATTTGATGAGCTGGAAAAAGAGTTAAATACTGGGGACTCGGGCAATCCCCGGAAAGATAGAAACACCTAAACACAAAACTCAGAAATCTTCAATCCATGTTGAATAATGAATGGACAGTCATGTATGTACACCGGGATAAGAAACTTCCAGACCGAACCTCCTAACCTGAGCAGACTTTTCTTTGTAAGTTGTATCTTTGGATGTAGTTCCATGTATTTATTATTTTGTGTAAATTTGCGAAGTTGTGAAAGAAATGCATCATATCAGAACCATGTAGAAGCTTTGTTAGGATTATAACAGTGTAATGTATCTTCATAATGCAACATACATGAGTCTTTGTGAAGATCAGGTATGCTTGGCCAAGTCCACTTGTAATGCCAAAATACAAAGAAATTTTGGATGCAATATCCGGTGATGAATTATGTTTGAGATAATCTTTTTATGGCTATTCTTACTTCTAATGACCGCATATCGATTGTTTTTTTTTCTTCTCCCAGATGAAGTAGCAGGCATCCGTCTGTTGAACCTCTTACCACGAGTGTGGTATGCGATTGCTTTGTCGTTAGTTGGTTTTGTATTTTTAAGACTGGTCAATGGTGGGATCTTAAAATCGGGGAAGAAAAATGTCTATAAAATTAGGGAGAATTTTTTCTTTAGACAAAATTGAAAATATAACTTTCGCCCTAGAAAATACTAGTGCTATTTTCTGTTCAATAACTGTTTATAAGCTTAACATAGCGCCTCAGATCAGCGGGGCGCCCCCCTTCCTCCACCATGAAAGGTGGGTCCTCTCTGTGTGTGTCTTAAAGTTTCTCCTTAGAGTTAATTGCAAAAGTATTTAGTTATATTATCCTTTTCACTTGAAATCAATTAAAAATAATATAGAAGATCTGTAAATAAAACAAAGGAGACATTTTTAGGGTCATTTTCTTCTTTCAAATAATAAGTGAAATCATTTGTTTTTATGGTCGTTCTATATGCATAGGTGAGGAGCTGTTTAGCTAGGTGAGGACTGAGGAGACAATGCAGTTGGAGAAGTGGTAACTGATGTGAGCTTTTCCCCAAAGAAAAAAAAAAACCATAAATAGAATTTAAACAGCCACCAGAATCCATTAAAAGTAGGAAACACAATTATTTTTCCTGTTAGTGTGTGGCCCTTTATTAAAGCTAAATACTGTGTTTGTTGTGGTACATCGGACACGTACACGGTACACTAGGCCATAGCAGTAATATTTGAAACAACCTAACTCTCAAATTTGGTTAAATGACTTAGTAACAGTTGTTACAGAATCATCAAGAAGTTCAATCTGCACCTATACCTCTACCACGCTTAAATAACGTATTGACGATATCTTTAAAGAGTTAGTTAAGTTTCAACTAGGAATTTAACTCTACAGATGAGCAAATTATGTCATTGTCTCCGACAAAATGGAGGCTAGACTTAATTCCCTGTAGGAAAAAAGCAATGCGTTGGGTGGGGGTCTAGTAATATTTTGATGGTGTATTAATATGTTCTAAATGTTTTTAAAGAGATTTTTTATACGCAGGTCCAGAAAGTAAATTACTCCATGCTCTTATCATGCCACTAACAGTGTTCAAAATGAGCCTTGAACAAAACCAGTAGAATTGTTATGCGATATTAGTATATCCCCATCTAAAAGAACCAAAGATTCGGATACGAGGTTTAAATTTTCTAATTTTCGATCTTAATTTCGACATGGATCTTTTTTATATTTGTTAAAATAACATTTACTTAATGTTTAGCGTGAAAAATATTTTTAACTAACCTTTCATAAAAAGTGAAGTTTGTAATCTTGAATATGACAGATTATCTGATACAACAGGTAAATATAATGTGATCGCGTTAAAATCATTTACATTGTTGATGTATGTAGATTAACAAAAGCATACACATTTATATGACTAAGGAACAAGACCCTTTTATATCTTGAGAAGAATAATTACATTTATCGAAAATTCTTGAATATATTATTGTTTTTGTCCCATTTTTTTGAATTGAACTTATATACACTGACAACGTAGAAGAGGAGTTTTGACGTAACTGGTAAAGTTGTTGCCACGTGACAAAGTTGTTGCCACGTGACAAGGAGATCATGAGTTCAAGCTATGGAAACGGCCTCTTGCAAAAATGCAGGGTAACGCTACGTACAGTAGACCTTTGTAGTTCGGCCCTTCCCTGGGGCATAGCAGGAGCTTAATGCACCGGGCGACTCTTTACACTAACAACATAAAAATACTTTTTATACTACGAGTGAATTCTAACCCATGTAATCTTGCTCATCTTTAAAATGACCCCTTTTTCCTTCATTTGCCTCTTAAAACTCAATACACTTTCTAACTCACACACACACATAGTGAGAGTGAGAGTGAGAGTGTACAATGGAAGATACACAAAATAATGCAGAAGAAGACTACATAGAATTGGAGGTAATTAACTCATCAAATTCCACCATTTCTTTATTCCATTTCAAAACAAACTCTCCACCACAAGCACCAAGATCATCAGAATTTGAATTCCAAATGTTGTCTAGTAACTTTATTGATAGTAAAGACACTAATACATCAATATCTACAGCTGATGAACTCTTTTACAATGGAAAAATCCTCCCACTTCACCTCCCTTTTCGTTTACAAATGCTTGAGAATATCCTTCACAATTCAACAATAACAACATACCCAATATATTCCCACAAGTGGAATTTGGGGAGGGTAGCGAATACGCAGACCTTACCCCTACCTTATGCAGGTAGAGAGGCTGTTTTCGAAAGACCCTCAGCTCGTGTAAGCAATGTCCTTCACAATTCAAGCAAAAAAAAATCTCTTCATATTAGCAAAAGTTTTGATGATCTTGAACAATCTTTTAACACCCCATTTTTCCAATCTTGTAATGTTAGTTGTGAACTCAATAATCCAAAAGATTACTTCTTTGGCTACTCAACAGATGATGAAATTATTTCAAGAAAATCAAAGTGGAGTTCAAGAAAGCTTAGGCTTATCAAGAACCTCTCATTTGATTCAAAAATTAAGTCTTCAAAAGGTTATCTCAAGTGTTTGATTAATAATATAGTAGCCAAGAATGAAATATTTGGGAAAATTATTCAACATAAAGGTGCATTAAATCAAAGAAAGTCATCATTTTCAGGAGCTATTAAAAGATTCTTGACATCTAAATCTTCTTCTTCTTGTGGCTCCTCAAACAATTCAAATGGGAATAATCAAGATGTGCATAATTTGTTAATGAGGAGAAGAAATGTGTATTATTCAGAAGTTGAAGATGAGAACCCAATTCAGGCTGCAATTGCTTACTGTAAAAATTCTCAACGGGGAACATAACCAATGAAAAGTTGGGATTGAAATGTAACTGTTATTGTCTGACTTGGTTAGCCAGCTGTCCTGCTATTTGTTCAATACATTTTTTCAGAATAATAGAAATAGTTTCTCTTCTTCCCTTCATCTCTCTTTGTCGCTAACTCCTCTCACGGTATTGTTATGTCACAGACTGTTGAATTCATGGGTGCTTAGTTTTTTTCTTTTTGACATAAAGTTACTGCCAATCACATAGTACAAGTACAACTATTTGAACACAACAATAAAAAAGGTAAAGGAGACAACTCATATTAATATTATGAACGTGGTGAATCTGTAATGAGAACAATTGGCAAGAAAACAGAGTTGGTCGGTTTTGACGTTTTAGAGTAACTATTCGTCTTTAGAAGCGGTCGGACTTTGAAATCTTTTTTTTATTTAAGCAAATTTTCTCTTTCTTTGCTATAAAGAACTAGGTATAATAATAAAATAAAATAAAAAAGGTAAAACAAAAGTCAGCGAAATATATATAAAAAAAAAAGTAGCATTGTGTTAAGAAAGTATACTTGAAAGAACTAAAAAATACCTAATTGAGGGAAACATTTTTCTTTTAAGAAAAAAAGAAAGAAAGAAAGTAGCTTGAATATAAGAAAAAAGAAAATAGTTTACTAGCTGGTTAAAAAGGACTTCTGCTAGTATAGAGTTTCGAACACTCGCCCATCAACAACATTAAACCTCAACCTCACCTAGGAAAGCTTTGTCTTCACCATGCTCTCAGCTCACGTTAGCTAAACGTGCGCCGAGTGTGGCTGCCATGGCTAGAGGGCGAGGAAGGGGAAGAGGAAGACCACGAAAGCAACCAAAGACACCAATCTCAACCATTAGAAACTTAGTTACTACTAAATCGAAGGATGGAGAGGACATGCAGAAAATGGAGCAACCAGTAGCAACTGAACAAGGAGATGTGGAAATTGTACCAGTAATTAGCTCAGAGATGAAGGAGATTCAGATTTGCAACTTGGCGGAACAAGGAGTGAAGGAATTTGAAAAGGGATCTGAAGGGGAAACCAATGGAACAGTAACGAAAGGGGAAAAACTAGCTATCCTAGACAAGGAAGCTCTGATAACACAGGATGAGGAAGCTAAGGAACCAAGGGGTGAGCAGAACAAAAATACAGAGACAAAACCCATAGATCGAGGGCAGGAGGTGAAAAAGTGGACAAATCTGTTCCAGCAAAACAGAGTGGCTACTCATGGAATGGCTTTGACATACATACCTCCACAGATTATAAATGGTCAAACAGTAGTGCAGCTTGAGGTGCAGGATGTGAAGGAAGAAGAGGAGAAGTGGAGTGCAGCTCTGATTTCTTATATTGTGGGTGAAAACCCAGGATATAATGTTATGCGAAGGTACATTGCTCAACATTGGCTGGACATTGATGAACCAGATCTGTTCCTTCACGAGGATGACTACTATGTGATAAAATTTCAAAGTATGGAGGATATGCACAAAATCTTCTATGCTGGACCTCATACTATTAGAAATAGGTCAATCATTCTCAAACCCTGGACTCTAGATTTTGATATAAGCAAGGAATTTCTAATTGATATACCATTGTGGGTGATTTTCCCCAAGTTACCAATGAACTGCTGGGGAAATGGAGCATTGAGTAAGATTGCAAGTGCGATTGGAAAGCCTTTGTTTGCTGATGAATGTACAACTAAACAAGGATATCATACGTAAGGATGCTGATTGAGGTAAATGTAACTAAAACCCTGCCTACTGAGATTAAGGTAATGGATCCTAGAGGGAAAGCATTTCAACAGGCAATAGACTATGAGTGGAAATTAGTGTATTGTGATAAATGCCAAGTTATGGGGCATATTTGTCAGAATCATCAAGGAAATAGGGAACAAAGGGTAATGCAGCCACAAAGAAGAAGGGAAGCAAAGAAGGTTACATATGAATGGAGAACAAAAGGACCTATAGCAAAATATGTCAGAAATGGAAAACAGGATAATGCAGAAGGGAAAATGGAGGGAACAACAAAGACAATTGAGGTACCTCACAAAGCTACAGATGAAAAAACTGGAATGCAACAAGAAGAAGTGCAACCTATACTACAGCAGACTGATGAGGATAAGGGAAGCAAAAGCAAAGAGATAATGGACAGAGGAAAGAGTATACTAGATTTCAACTTGGAGAACTTTCCTATGCTGACTCCACAATCTAGTAGAAATAGCTCAAAAAGAGGGACTCCGAATACTAGTGGAACCAAAAATCTACCTCATGATAGAGGTGGGGAATGCAGAAATTAATAAATGAAGTGGTTGATATGGAATGTGAGGGGTATTAGTAAATGGTACAAGAGGAAGGAGATGAGAAATTATATAAAAAAACAAAAATATCAAACTGGCAGGGCTCATAGAAACTAGAGTAAAAGAGAAAAATGCAAAAACAATAAGTCAATTCATAGCACCTGGATGGGAGGTGATCAATAATTATAATGCAGCAGTAAATGGTAGGATATGGATTCTATGGGATCCTAACTGCTATGATGTGAAGTTGATAAAGGCTGAAGCTCAGGTGATCCATTGTACTGTCTCAAAAGTTAGCACTGATGGGGTTCATGCAGTATCTATAGTTTATGGCTATAATACAGGTGAGAAGAGAAAGCAATTATGGGAAAATTTGAAGGAGATAAATCAGATGGTAAACACCCCCTGGATAATTGGAGGTGATTTCAATGCTATTTTACAGTTGCAAGACAGGAAACATGAAAATCCAGTAACTCAGGCTGAAACACAAGACTTTAATGGCTGCATTCAAGAGTTAAAGCTAAATGAACTAAATTGGGAAGGGGAATACTATACCTGGTCGAATAAACAGGAGGTTGGAGATAGAATTTGGAGTAGGATTGATAGGGTATTTGGAAACTATGACTGGATGATACAATGGGCCATATAGCAACTGTGTATGATCAACCCTTCATATCAGACCATGCACCTATGAGTTTATCTTTCAATGACATTCAGAGAAGCAGGAGAGTACCATTTAAGTTCTTTAATGTATAGGCTGAATATGAGAGATTTTTACAGGAAGTGCAACAGAATTGGAACCTCAACTTGCATAACCATAAAATGAAGAATGTATGGATGAAGCTGAAGGCATTGAGAGGAGTATTGAAAAAACTTAATGTAGAGGAATTCAATTATATTAAAAGGAAGATAGAGTTGAGCAGAATTGAGCTTGATAAAGTTCAGCAAGTTATAAATTCAGACAGCAATGCAGAAATGCTATTGAAAGAGAAAGAACTGATGATGAATCTGGAGGAATGGAGCATGATAGAAGAAAGGGCTCTAAGACAGAAAGCAAGGTCAAAGTGGATACAATTGGGAGACTCAAACACCAAATATTTTCATGCTGTGATGACAGAAAGGGGCCATAGAAAACAAATTACTGAGTTACAAGCTTTAAATGGTAGCAGATTAATTGATGCAGAGATCATTCAAAAGGAGATTGTGGATTTCTACAAGTCTTTGATGGGAAGTGCAGCTAATATGCTACCTGGTATAGACAAGGAGATTATGAACAAAGGAGCCAAACTCAGCAAACAACAAAAAATAGAACTATGTAGAGATGTGACTAGTGAAGAGATATATGATGGCCTATGCTCTATTGGTGATGAAAAAGCACCTGGAGTAGATGGCTTCAATGCTTTCTTCTTCAAGAAAGCTTGGCATATTATTAAAGATGAAGTCATAGAAGCTGTAATGGAGTTCTTTAAGTGGGGGAAGCTGTATAGAGCAATAAACTGTACAGCTATAACACTAGTGCCCAAGGTATCTAAGCCTAAAACTGTAAGAGAATTCAGACCAATTGCATGTTGCACTGTCCTTTATAAGCTGATCTCAAAGATTCTGGCTGCCAGGATTCAGAAAGTGATTGGTACAGTAATAAATGAAGCACAAGCAGGATTTATACCAGGGAGGAAGATTGCTGACAACGTAATATTGGCCCATGAGCTAGTGAAGGCATATACCAGGAAGAATCTGTCTCCTAAAGTTTTGATCAAGATAGACCTTCAAAAAGCATATGACTCTGTGGAGTGGAGCTTCATGAAACAAGTAATGGAGGAGATAGGATTTCCACAATTATTCGTAGGATGGGTTATGGAATGTGTGCAGACAGTTAACTACTCTATTGTAGTTAATGGTGAACCTACAAGACCTTTCAATGCTGCAAAAGGGCTAAGGCAAGGTGATCCCATGTCACCTTTCCTGTTTGCTATTGCTATGGAGTATCTAAGCAGGAACCTAGCTAGTTTGAAAGAGGAGAAAGAGTTCAAATTCCACCCTAGGTGTGCTAAACTAGGGATAACTCACTTAAGCTTTGCAGATGATCTTCTATTGTTTGCTAGGGGTGATTCGAAATCTGTTCAATCTATGCAAAAATAGTTCAAACAATTCACTGAAGCATCTGGATTACAAGCAAATCTAAGCAAGAGTGAAGCATATTTTGGAGGAGTTCAGGAGACAAACAGACAACAAATTCTGCAGTGCTTAGGTTTCACAAGTAAGAACTCCCATTCAAATATCTAGGAGTTCCTTTATCTACAAAGAAGCTGAGCCTAATGCAATGGCAACCACTGATTGAGAAAATGACTAGAAGAATTACCTCTTGGACAACAAAAATCCTTTCATATGCAGGCAAAATGCAGCTAGTTCAGAGTGTTCTATTTGGGGTGTAGGCATTCTGGGCACAGATATTTATCCTTCCGGCCAAGGTGATTAAAGTAGTAGAGGGACTATGCAGATCATATGTTTGGTCTGGGGCAAATGAGATTACAAAAAGGGCTTTGATAGCATGGGATAAAGTATGCTTACCAAAGGCAGGTGGTGGACTCAACATAATCAATTTGAAGCTGTGGAACAAGGCAGCTATTGCAAAGACAAGCTGGGATTTAGCACACAAGCAGGACAAGTTGTGGATCAAATGGATACGTGCTTATTATGTCAAGAAGTAGCAGCTGAAGACAATGGAAATTCCTCAACAAGCATGCTGGATGGTAAGGAAAGTGATTGAGTCATACAATATAATTGAAGAGGTGCAGCTTTCACAGAATTGGAAGAAGAGCATGATCAAACAAATATACCTGCACCTACTGGGAGATTACAGAAGAATGGAATGGAAGACATTGGTGTTTCAAAATGCAGCAAGGCCAAAAGCA